TTTTTTTTTTTTTTTTTTGAACAACCAATTTATTAAAATGATAATAAGGGGTACTTAAACTCTTCTTTACAACAGTGCATGTCCAGCACCTTTTTAACCATTGAAAGGACCTAGATTGAATTAAATCAAAATTATGGTATGCTGTAGCTTCTTCTCCTTGGAATACAGCCTTGCTTCTCACCTGCCATATGGACCAAACACAAGCCAACGAAACCACATCCCATCCCTTTTGAAGAACTTTTGAATTTAAAAAGTCTATTAAAAAAAAAGGTCAGAAGAGCTTTCAACTAACTCCTTGCATTCCCAGCACCTAGCCATTTCCAAATCCAGTAAAATACCTCCGTTTAGTAAATTTAATTTAGTTGAACATTTGTCTTGCACCATTTGCCATGAAAAAGCTACTCTATTCCTAGGGGCAAACTTTCATTGCATGCCCAGCACCTTTCCTTATATTAAATGATATTTTTTCTACAATTTTAATTGATTGCATTCTTTATTGTTCTCATTACAGTTGGTAATATTACATCAGGTGATAAGTCGTGGATAAATATCGAACAAAAGGCCTCCATGACATATGTGCGAAGGGCTATGAGATTCATTTTGTTTGCCTCAAATCACCTAGATGAAGATGGAAAAATCACATGTCCTTGTATGATATGTGTTAATGGGCAGTCTATGTACCCACAGGATGTCTTTGATCATATCATATGCAATGCATTTCTTAGGGGCTATGTCAACTGGGGATTGCATGGTGAGGGTGTTGGATCATCAACACCTGAGGTTGAAATTAACAAACAAGATGAGGGCTTTCTTCATGACATACATGGTTTGTTGAGTGATGCATTTGGTATGCATGCTGCAAATACTAATATTAATGGTGGCATGAATATTGATCTGGATGGAACATGCATTGAAACAAGAGATGACCATGGACAATATAGTCAATTTGAAAGCAGTGATGCAGATATGTTTTTTAAATTGCTTAAGGAAGCTGAGCAAGAATTGTATCCTAATTGTAAGATGTCAAAGCTGCCATTCTTAGTACGCTTGTACCACATAAAATGTCTTAATGGGTGGAGTAATAAATCATTGTCCATGCTATTGGAGTTGTTAAAAGAGGCGTTACTTGATGGAAACACACTACCTACTACTTATAATGAAATGAAGAAAATATTTTTAGGTCTCGGTTTAAGGTATGAGAAAATACATGCTTGTCCAAATGGTTGTGTGTTATTCTGGAAAGATTGTGAAAATCAACAAGAATGCGATGTGTGTGGTGCCTCTAGATGGAAGGAAAGTAGTGTTGTTGTGGAAGATAAGGGAGAGAATTTTAGTAGTACTAAGAAAAAAAATATTCCAGCAAAGGTATTACGTTGGTTTCCTTTAAAACCAAGGTTGCAAAGATTATTCATGTGTTCAAAAACAGCTTCTTTGATGAAATGGCATGAAGAAGGGTGCACCAAAGATGGATTGATGAGGCATCCTACAAATTCCCCAGCATGGAAAGATCTAGATTCTCAACATCCAGAATTTTCTGCTGATCCATGTAATGTTCGCTTGGGGTTAGCTTCAGATGGTTTCAATCCATTTGGGATGATGACAGTATCTCATAGCACATGGACTGTTATATTGATACCGTACAATTTGCCCCCCTAGTTGTGCATGAAGCAACCCAATTTCATCCTCACATTGCTAATTTCTGGTCCTAAAAGCCCAGGTAATAAGATTGATGTATACTTGCAGCCTTTAACAGAAGAATTAAAAGAATTGTGGGACGAAGGATTGAAAACTTGTGATGTCTCTGTTAATCAAAATTTCATAATGCGAGCAGTGGTATTGTGGACTATTAGTGACCTTCCTCGGCTCTCTAGTCTCTCTGGGTATAGTGCTAGAGGGATGAATGCTTGCCTCTACTATGGTTTTGATACAGAATCTTTATGGTTGGTACACAGTAGAAAGTATTGTTATATGGGTCATCGATGATGGTTAGAAGCTGATCACATTTATCGTCAAGATGCGCAATCATTTGATGGAACTTGCGAAACATGTCCAGCACCTATGAGGCTAACGGGGTCTGAGGCGTTAAGGCAATTAGAATGCATAGAAGATGAATACAACAATGGCAGCATGCAACCTTGGAAAAGAAAGAGCATCTTCTTTCAACTGCCTTATTGGGAACATCTTTTATTGCGTCATAATATTGATGTGATGCATACAGTGAAAAACATATTTGATAACACGTGTGGCACCATCACAGGCCAACAGGGGAAGTCTAAAGATAATTATAAAGCATGATGTGATTTAGAAGACATGGGTATACGGAATGATCTCCATCCCAAGGTGCGCTTATGTACTAATACTAAATATTTGCCAAAAGCTTGCTATCAAATGACCGCCAAAGAAAAAGATGCCTTCTTTAAAGTTCTCAAGGATCTTTGAGCCCCAGATGAACTGTCATCAAATGTATCACATTGTGTCCAACTTAAACCACACAAATTAATTGGACTCAAAAGTCATGACTGCCATGTATTGATGCATGAACTTCTCCCTATTGCATTACGTAAGTCTTTGCCAAACGAGGTAT